TCATTCATTTGATGCAATTCCTGGGTTTGATCAGAGGCATCCCCACACCATAAAACTTTTACTGTTAAATGGAGACTTTATGTTTCTTGAATGCCACTTGGGTTATTGCAAGTATTATTGGGTTTATTGGGTTATTATATGGATCTTAGGCATCTAAGAAATGGTTTTTCCCTTACTCAGGTGCAGTTTTGTCAACACAGTCATCCTGAAAGTATATGTTACCTTCTTGGATGTGACAAAAATGTTGGAAGCCTGTCCCTATGGCTATACTCTCCTCTCCTGAGGGCTGCTGTGTGGTGGCACAGCAGCTTAGTGGCGAGGAACTGAGGTCATGCATGAGCAACCCAATTTAATCTGCAGGCAATTTGACCTGTAACTGGAAACTGACTGGGCTTTTAGCAAAACTCATGGCTACACACCTTTTCTCCCCCTTTGAAATCTGAGGATTTGTTAAACAGTTTATCATTATTTCTAATTAGCTAGTAATGGGCTGTTAATTATTTATGTATATTAGAAATGCTATGGAGAAGCCCTCCTTTTACTTGTTATGCATTGATACATTTGCATTTAATTTTACATCTGTGTGCTTCTATAGCACTGACAGCCTACAATAGGCTTACACCAGGATCATTGACTGTCTGATTAGTAATAATTACATACTCTTTTCACTAGAGATGATTATTCAGTTTTAATTTTAACACCAAATAGCTGTTATATAGTGGAATAGCCATGCCCCTTGCTGACAAATGGACCAGGACTTCCTCACTTTTCCAGCATGGTTTTACGAGCACATCTATTGCTCTCTCTTTATGAAAAAGCCTACAATTCATTTTCATTGGGACACTTAATGCTCCCTTACGAATACATGGTAGAACATGGAAGGAAAGTGAGATCTGTGTATTCTGAAGTAGAATCAATCTTGTCTTATTAACGATAGAAAGTTTAAGGGTCTTGTCTAAGCAATCATGGTGAGACAGGCTTGTACAGATAGTCCTTCATTTATCTTATTTTAGAATTGAATCTGGAAGTTTCATTCTATCTCCATTGCTTATAGAAAGACATTAGAAGGTGGTTTACATTAAAAGCCTAAATTTTATGTGGCTAGGGGCAGGTGAAATGAATCCCACTCCTTTGAGCTGATCTCTGGATTACATAGTTTAAGAAATGAATGACTGCTTGGAGCTTTCCTACCATCATCAAAATGTCTTCAGAGATTCAGAATAGCCAGGTAAACAGATAATGCACTCTTCTGCCTGCACAGCAGGCTGGATGAGTGATCTGAAAACGTCAATGAAATAATTTTGCCTCTACAAAAGTAACTGTACTTTCTTACCCTTGTTTGTTCTGTGAACTGAACGAGGCTCATTTAGTGTGATTTAGGAGCTTCATAATATGCATGCACATGGAGACTGATTCAAGGTTCTATCAGCAAACTGAAATATAGCATATTTCTAGCTGTAAAATTCCCTATTTCTGTATTTAAATACTTCTTATGTGTGGCTAAGAAACTTCAGATGTAGTGCTGTTGATAAAACAGTAGACCATTCAAAGCAGAACTAGTATTGGTGCATAACTCTGCACGCTACTTGGAGCTGGAGTTGTACTCCTGCCTTTTTAATGGACTCTCTTGCACAGAGAGAGTCGAATATCCTTCTTCGTGATATATTAACCTTGAATGTGATCACTCCATCCAACTGGCTGTTTCCTCATCACTGAAATGGGCCAAATGCAACTTCCTCTATTTAAACTTTATAACACATTTTTGATGTGGCTATTTTAGCTATGAACCTTGTGTAACATCAATATATAACTCAGTCCTAGCTCCTACTTAGCTCGAACAGAGACTATTTTAGTAATCGCAAATTTACAGGAAGAATATGTTTTTCACTAGTGGTGAAACATCAGCATTTGCAGAAGAAGGCAAAGGAGTGATAAGTTTGACTTGAACATCCCAATAATGCTTATGGTATATTGGGAAAATATGTCTGCATGAATAGACAGGATGACAATTCCTACTAACAGCTAAATGTGAGACACAATCCAGAAGCTGAAAGAGAAGACAAAGTGGTGGCACTACACATTTGTTTCGTCTGAGTTACATTTAATAACAGTAATAATCAAGAAGTACTTCAGAACCACCCTTTCCATGCCTTTACTGAGTACTCAGCAAAAGAGAGACTCTTCATGATTTGACATGAATGCTCCATTACTGGCAGTGCTCAAGGAGAGGTTGGAGGGGCATGGCGACATGGTGTGACATGGTCTAGTGTGAGATGTCTCTTCAAATGGCAGGGGGTTGGAACTGGATGATCTTCAAGTCCTTTCCAACCCAAACTATTCTATGATTCTATGACAGCAGAAGCTAATTCTGCTAATTCTGCTAATACTTTTTTATTATTAATTATATTCATAATAGGTCAAAACAGAGACAGAAAACACTCTTTGGACATTTAGGCCAATTTTTGGGGAACAAGACTGTTCAATAAAACTTTATGTGGCTATTTTCTGCTCTGCTTTTGAGAACTCCATATGTCTGGTCAGCTTCCTCTTGGGAACTCCATGTGTCTGGTCAGCTTCCTTTTGGGAAGTATCCCACTGTCCATCGATAAACCAGCTGTCCCTCAATGTTTTTAACTTTCCTTAATTTTTGTCTAAGTTCTCTCCTTCTGCCCTTCATGCCTCCATTCATAGCTGTTCTATTTTATTAGATGGTTCTTCCCTCTGTTTGATTCTACTCCTGCTCCATCAGTTTCAGTGCGTGGCTAGCCACGCTGAAAATAAGCAGTAGTTTTCTTTGGAAATAACTATGTAGTGGGGGTAAAAATGGAAAGAACTGCTTGGTGTGAGTTGCAGAGAAATCCAGATTGATAATACCACAGAACCACAACCATCTGGTAAGGAAATACAACTTCAGAGTAGGTTTTGAAATTAAAATATAATGGATAGTAGATATAAACCAGAATAAAAACCTCAGACTGATGTTGTCCTTAAATTTGGTGTCTCTGATCCTGATTAGAAATAATGAATTAGTTATTACTAGTAGTAATTAGTAATAACGAATCAAAGTTTAGCACTTAGGTTAGCAGCCAGAAAAAAATGTGTTATTTACATGAATTGGTTATGTTTATCTGTCTGGTTTTAGGAAGTGATCAGCTTGTTTGAAGGGAAGAAATAGTAAAAAGCTCAAAAAAATACAGTTTAAGTAGATATTTATTTGACATTCTTCTCCCATAGAGCCTCCTACCAGAAATGCAATCTAATTCATTAAAGTTCTGAATCACAGCAGCATAAAATGATGTTGGGATAAAATCCCATAGTACTTACCAGTGTTTGTGGATGACTAATGCTGTTAGGAATATTTCCTGTCATTATCTGCTTGTGAAGGAGACTGAGGGGGATTTCTTCTGATAAAATATTAAGCCTCTCTACACAGAATACAGGCCTGATGCAGTGAGTGGTATTAAAGGAAAACAGAGCTGAGATTACATTGTGTGAGGTGCCATTTTTTACTGGTGTCACTATTTAAAGTGTCATAATCATTTCATGTTACTTAACCCGCCCATACATAGAAAATTTCATCTTCTCATGTAACAGCCTTTGTACCATTGCATTTACAAATAATTGTCATTTTAGTCTAATAGCATTTAGAATCTTCACTGGCCTCATTAATTTTGTTTCAGTTAATTTAAATATTTCACTGCAGCCTAAAGCCATGTTGAATTTAGCTGTGATTTCTTATCTGTCACATCAATTTTGGTTAAGCTGATCAGTTTTTGAATAGAAGAACTCTATAGAAAACAAAGGAACAGCTTGATTCTCTCTGGGATATCTGTGCACGACTAAGAAACTAATGCTAACCATCTTTTTGGAATCTTATTTTTATTATTATTATAATTAATTTTCCAATAAAAATAATTAGCAGTCTATCAACAGCTTTGTGGAGAATTGAATGATGCCTAAAGAGATGAGAATAAGAGATTAGACCCAGTAGAACTGCATATATCCTATGGGCCCGGAAAGTCTCACTGTTACGATAACTAGCCAGAGGGATATTCCATACCATACGATGTTAAGGTCAGCATATCAACTAGGGGGAAAACTGGCCAGGACTCCTGCTTGGGAACTGGCTGGGCATTGGCCAGTGGGTGGTGAGCAACTGCACTGCACATCACTTGTGCTGTATGTTCTAATTCTACCATCATAATAATCATCACAATTCTATTACTATTCTCTTGCTGTTATTGTTGTTGATGATGATGATGTTGTTGATGATTATGTTGTAGTTATTATCCCTTCCATTTATGTCTTATTTAGCTCAACCCGTAGATTTTACTTTGTTTCCTGATTCTCTCCTGTGTCCCACTGAGATGGGGAAGTGAGTGAGCTGCTGGGTGGTGTTTAGCTGCCTGCTGGGTTAAACTATGACAACAAGCCCATAAAAGTCTTACTGCGTTTAATATATTTTTATTGAATTTGCCTGATAAATAGAAGCTAACAAATAGAACTTGAATCAAGATTTGTGATTTACCCCTATGGGAGGAGGGCTGGAACTAGATGATCCTTAGAGTTCCTTCCTATCCAAACTATTCTATGCTTCTATGATTCTATGGCTTGCCCCACATCTCCTATGATTATGGGCAATTAGTCAATTGCCTTTATTTTTTCTAACAGAAAAGATTATGTCTATCTCACATAAATTAAGAAATTTTGCATAGTTTAGTGACATTTTATTATAGTTTATAAAATGTATAGCTTACATACCATAAAGATATGATATGTAAAGAAAAGACTGCAAAACCATGAATATGTGCACTAATACTTGCTCTCAGATGCACTTCTGGTGTAAATCTGTATCATACCAGAGGACTCAGGAAGCTGCACTGGTGTGCTGGAGGCTACTCCACTGACCTGAGGCATCTGATTCACTGCCACCCTCCCCTGATTCCTACCTTGCTGTATAAAGCCACTGAGAGAAATCTCTTTGCTTCCTCTTTCCACAGGTTCCCATTGCTGTTAAGAAAACTGGCATTAAAATACTACTGACAGATTGGTAAGTCCTTTTGTTTTAAGTTATTATTGTTTAATACTTTCAATTTGTTATGTTTCAACGTTTCCCTTGGATTGTTCTTTTAATACCATAATAACATTCAATTTAATCCAAGCATTGATTCAATTCATTGTATGAATTCAATCATGGTTTCAAAAGAGAATCTTCACCCTTGCAAATGGGTGTCTACACTAGAGGAAAACAGTTTAGCTTTTACCTTCTTCCTTTTCAACATACCTCGGTTTTAGGTCAATTGAACATGTTGGAAATGAGGCTGCATAACTTCTCTCAGCAGTGCAGTTCATCTGTCATTCCCAAAACTCATACTCTGTACTGGCAGAAATTTATGTGGTGTCAGTGCTATGGTACACATGCAGAATTCCAAATCTGGTGTTTTTTAGAGATGCTGCCGAGGTGTCAGAGTGTTTTTCAGGACCAGGTTGTCTTACATCCAATGTAAAGAAAAACTCTCTGTCCACTTCAATTGCAGCTGGGTCTTTCTGCTTTAAAGTTGACACACAATTTGAGGAGTGTTAATGTATTTAATTACTCTACTGAAACTATCCCTATTATCTCCAACAGAAATTCTTCTACCAGAGTTAGCACTGAGGGATTTAGCCATTTATCACTATATCGTTTTTACTGTGTTTTGTTATGCTGATGCAATGGAAAGTAAAATATAGACCATTAAATCATTATCTTATTATTCAACAGAAACAACTTCTAAAAAGCCTAGCAAATGAAATAATTAATAATAAATGAGAAGCTGAACAGGTATTCAGCAACTTGTTTCTGCAGTTTAATACACAATACTGCATGTTAGCATGCCAGGGTACAAAAACAGTTCTTTTAAGCTTCTCTTGCACCTGTAACTCGAGATATCTGTCATCACGAGATGTTAATTCAAAATTGTTTATATGCCATATAAGGACCATCAAATTAGCTTGCCTATGGATTTGTGACAAAATATTTGCATAAGATAGCATTATGTGACTTTGCTGTGAGAGATGTACCCTATTTTAAATGAATGCCAGAAAAACAAACCAGATGCAATATGCCATACAAACACCCAATAGAACTACTTCTATGAAATTGCTTCAATTAGGGGGCATTTTTATTCAAAATCCCAATTGTTTTATTCGTCTTTTAAGAACCCTTTTCCTAGTGAAATGATTGATGAAGGCAGTCAACCAAATCAAAGGAATAAAATTATATTCACGTGAAAAAATAAACTGAAAAGGAAGGTAACACAGGTGGCACTATTAAAGCACACATAGAAACAACATCAGGATGATGCTGGTTTTAACCTTGTTTTTCTATTAAGTTCAGCATCTGTACAAAATAAGATTGCAATTTTAAACTCATATTGAGAACAGATTATGTTTGCATCAAACTATTGAATGATAACAAGAGTGGGGCTTCACCAAGCATTTCTAAATGCATTGTTCTTTCTGTTATCCTGAAAGGGGATCGTTATGATTGAACTGTATCACGTAGTTGAATTGGATTCTTTTCTTTCTTACATTGTGTACAGAGCTAGAGCTGGCAAACATTTTCCCTTGTGGCAGTCCCAGGTTAGCAGAACACTGTTTTATATGCTGAGGACGCAGCTGTAGGAAATGTCACAGTTCATTCTGGGGAAATCATACCACTGACCAGAAATCAAATCAAGCAGTGAATAATATACTGTTATTGGCTTGGTCTCTGCCTCTCTCCAGCCTACTCCGTGCTCACCTCCAGTTTATATACAGGTACTGGGCCCCAGTGCAGCTGCAGTGCCTTTATATGAGGAAGCTATTCCCCTGGAACACAGCTTACAAAAGACTTTAGGAAGGAACAGAAAACGTTGCCAAACCAGAATAAAAAAGTTCCTTTGAAAGAGTGCTGTTTATGTGAGGACACTGAGCCTTAATCTTCCTACCTGGTTGACCAACATCTAGGACCTGATTAGCGATGTATCCAAAGCTAATACCACAGATCATCTCCCCCACCCTTAACTTCATCCAGTGTAGTATAGAGAAAGCTGTGGCAGTGCATCATCCCAATTCAACAATCTCTATACAAGCACTTCCTTTCAAACTAAGTTTTATGAGCCATCTGTATTATTAAGCTAGAAAGGGCCTGGGCTGTGCCATGTACTTTGTTGTGTGTTGTTTGCTCCCAACAAATGTCCACCATGGCCTGAAGAATATCACAAAGCACAGGCTGCTCTCAGCTGGCAGCATGTTAGAAATCATCCTATTTCTCTAAAGAAATGCATGGTGAAGTGTGCTGTGGGTCTTGCTCTCTGCAGTGCAGAATGGCCCTTGATGCATTCCATTTGCTAATGGAGATGCACACATAGGTATGGACTTAGATAAAGGGTTAGCTTCAGATTATAGCCTTTGCTATTGTCACACATTTCTGTTATAGCTGTACTCACATACTTTTAATGGTATAATTTTACTGAATAATATCGTAGGGCTCTTGCCAATAATTTTTGTGTAACTAGGTAACCATTTCAGCTTTTATCCCATTAGTATTTCTGGAGTTGCTTTATGCTTGTTCTGCTCATTTCAGTTCTTGAAGTAGAAAAAAGCTATTCCTCACGGTAAGTTAAGCCTGGATTCATTTCAACTAACATAGAAATCCTAAATGAGGAGTAATGATTCTTAGCTTCTGGGTCTAGAGAACCATCTCTGGTGTGAATTGCTGTGATGGTCAAGAGACCCCTCCTGGGTTCATCTCAAAACAACTCAAAAGACGTCACTGAGGGCTCGTTATCGCTTGGGCAAACGGCAAGGGGGCAGGGCAGGGATCCTGCTCCACCAGCGCTGGGGATGCTTCCCTGTGATGCCTGCCCTGAGGCCGTGAATATCAACTGCCCCGGCAACGACCTGCCCGGAGATAGCGGCGCAGACACTGGGGCACCTGTCGGGGCACAACGTGAGCTGGGTATGGGGCTCAACAGGTCCCCTGCGGATGAGTCTGTACCATCGGAGTGGTCCAAGAGAGCCTGGCCCTATAAAAGGGCAGCAGCTGCTCGACCACTTGGCGTGCATCCCTCCATCCCAGACTGTGGCGGGCTCAGGGACCATGAGGACCACGAGGACCACGAGGACCACGAGGACCATGAGGACTCCAAGGGCTACAACTGAAAGAGAGAAGACATCACTGGATACACGCGCTGGTGATCCTATTTCTCTGGTTTCTTTCCTCTTTTTTTCTTTACCTTCTCCTTTTCTTCTCCTACTTACTGTTTTATATAAGAATAAGAACTTGCCAAAACTTTTGTTCTTCATGACACAGTTTTAGGGAAGTTTACAATAGTTGCTGTTCCATTTTTTCACCTCTGGAGAGCATGTGGTTTCTCCTGTGAACCATGCAGACTACTGTAAAAGATCACCTCTCCCCATACCCGCTTGGTGAGACAAACAATTGCTCTCTGGATTTGCTTCATCCTTCCCACTGACTCCTCAGATAAACGGGGCAATTCTGAAGCCTTCCTTCTAACAGTTAGGCTCATAAACATGACACGGTATTTTGCTGTCTTTAATCATGTCACTATATTCATAACACTCCCAGGTTCTCTTCATTTATGCTTGAACATTACCAGCTCTTGTATATATTTTTAAGGCATTTGTAAGTTCATGTTGGAACAGAAATTTGCAGTTTCTCTCAAAATGCATTGTCTTTTAAGAACTGTATTTGTTTTGTGTAAATTGTTAATGGTTGTGTTTTCTTTAGATGGCTTAACTTCTCCAAAGCATTTTTGAATATAATATGGTAGAAATTCACCCTTTATAAGCTAAAAAGAGTGAAGTTTCTGATACATCACTCATAACATTTCAGTTAAAAATATTAGTATATATTTGCATAGAAAATATAATATTAGAATATATTTCTAATAATCTTTCTAACAAAAAAATACTAAGATTTGAAACTAATTTTACTGAGAGATTTAGGACTTGTATGGACTTCTGTGATGTTTTTGCAGAAACAGAGGAAATATCTCTAGTGATCATGATGGGTTCTAGTATTTTTGTATTAACCTTGGACCATCAAGTTCAGTTTTCAGTTTGTTTCTAACTTACTTTTGTCTGGTGAAGTATGTTCTACATCTCCATCTATCTCTAACATTTGCCAATCACTTGTTAGGTTTTTGTCCCTTCAGTAAAGGCTTTGAACCATTTTATTGCTAATAGCTCAAAATAATGAGATTTTAGGGTAGGTGGGTAAACACAAACTCGGGCATTCTATTATAAGAGTTTAGGGACTCTGGAAATCATCTGTTCCCAAAGTGGTACTCTCAGGACTAACTTCAAAGACAGATCTGGTTGTTCAATGCTTTGTCTAGGGGAGTTTTGCGTGTCTTAGGGGATTTGTCCAGTATTATCATCTCTCTCATGGTGAACCATTTTTTCTTTAGAGCCAGTTGAAATTTCTCCTGTTTCAACCTGTCAGCATTGTCTCTTGCTGTGCATCTCTGTGGAACCTGACTCCCATTTCTTTATAGATAGAGTGAATTCTGCTCCCATTCTCTATAACCTAGATACCTCTATGGTTATAGAGACACAACCAGCTTTGGAATGTTTTTCCCAAGGAAACGGTCTGTTTCTCAAAAAATATATACAGAGATTTTATTTTATAAGTGGAATGAGGTGATTTTCTGATACATCTGCAAGCATCTGTGAGCAGCTTTCATGGATGATCCCAACTAGATTAGAGATGATGATGAAATGAGTTTAACTCATTAAAAACACAACATTAAAGAAGGATCAAAACAATGTTACACATCTTTCTGATACTCAGGATGACTCTATAGACATTACCTACCCTATACAGTACATTCAAGAAGGAAAATAATGTAATCAATCAGCGGCAACTTAGAAGAGACAAATTCAGTGCTGTGTGTGAGTTTGTGAATCTATGTTAGCAGTGGAAATAGACATTATAGCCTCCTGCTTCTTTATCACATTCACAAAAAGTAGTGGAAAGAAGAATTGTTAGCAGTATTTGACATA